GCCAACAGGCTTCTTGTAAAGTAAGTGACGAGTCTTTAAGGCACTTGCTTTAATTCAGCTCTTTCACGCGGCGCATCTTGCCTTCCAACATCGAGCAGCTGAGGTTTTTACAGGCATCTTTCCGCACTCTGTTTCTGGGGAGCAGAGTCCCGGGGGAGTGAGTGCGGGCAGTAATGGAGGCCTGTGCCTTTAAGGAACCCTGGCTCAGGCTTCTTGTAAAGTAAGTGACGAGTCTTTAAGGCACTTGCTTTAATTCAGCTCTTTCACGCGGCGCATCTTGCCTTCCAACATCGAGCAGCTGAGGTTTTTACAGGCATCTTTCCGCACTCTGTTTCTGGGGAGCAGAGTCCCGGGGGAGTGAGTGCGGGCAGTAATGGAGGCCTGTGCCTTTAAGGAACCCTGGCTCCAGGCCAGTTTAAGAACCTGGTTCTCTTTCTCCTCCCCCCCCCCCCCCCCCCCCACCTTAATTGGATTCTAAACTGTGGCATTTGTCACTTTGCATCTGCAAAGGATTCCGTTGGGGTCTGCAATGGAGAAAGGAGGCTTTTCGGGGCCCCTTTGATGCTCTGAGGACTCCATGTTGGAAAGTCTGTTAGTTTGTTTGTATTTAATTGTCAATTGTATGCTAAATTGGTTACACTGGGGGGGTCATGGAAAGTTCAGTTTCTCCGAGAAACTAATCTTTTCTAAGTTCATTCAACTCTGTCAGTGCTGGAGTGTACTTTAAAGGGGCTTTTGGGGAGGGAAAAACCCTTTTCCCCTTTCTCTGTGAACTAATACATTGGTGACCGTGTCCGAGTAAGTGGCTTTTTTCTATAAACTTGAACCCTACATACATGTAAAATCTGTACCCCCTTTTTTATTTAAAACCACTGGAGGGAAAGGGAGAAGGCCTCGCTTTTGTAAATCGTTTTCTTTGAAACCACAGAGCAATGCGGTATATAGCACTCGTTTTTGCATTTTACAACCCACCAGCGCCGAATGGCTCTGGATAACTACTTACCCAAGGCAGTGCTCACATAAAAGGTACCATAAAACCAGATGCCTGACCCGGCTTTCCAGACACCCTGTGTAAAAACAGGATCAGAGGCGATTCCAGGGCTGCTGAATCTGTAAAAGATCCTGTTTTCATCTGCCCGAATAGTCTACTGCTCTGCCTTTGGATGCATTGCCCTCCTCTCTCCCCCCGTAGCCTCAAAGCGTCTTACACCGTTACAATGGAGTGTAAGAGACTCTGGGACCGATAGTTGGCACTTCCAGAACTTTGTTGATGGCGACCGGTTAGCTGCATGGCATTGAAGTAGGCGCTGCAGAGGAGACTGGCAGTACATTTCAAGATCGCAGGTGTCTCTCTCCTCTCTTCCTCGGGCTTGTATCTCAGACCAGAGCCCCATTAAATGGTTAAAAATATTTTTTTAAGAGTTAGCGGCGGAGTTGCTGGACGAGCCAGGCGTCAGTCCTGGGGGAGGGGGCTTTCTGTCGGCAGAGGCTGCCCCCTGTTGGGAGCAGGGCTGTATGACTCCCCGAAGGGGGGCAGCCCGGAGCGGGCGCGGCCCGCTTCGTTGCACTCCAGAATGCGGCGGTCAGGGCTGTATATGCCGATAGTGCCCGGCCCGCACGGGAACGCTCCCCAGCAGAAGTACAGGCCAAAGGGGCTTGAACCAGGAGGTTAAGAAAATGTCCCCAGCCTTCTAACCTCCTCACTTGTCCCCTTCCCTCGCTTTTGTTCCCGAACCCAGCATTCAAAACTCCGCCTGGGCCATCCTGCTTTAGGCACCTCGGAGTGAGACCTGCTACGGGAGGGGGAGCTGCTGCTCCCTGCTTGGCCTTGCCCTGAATGTTTGCTAGTGGGGATTTTGATTGTAACTCCTCTCTGAGCGCCCATCAAAGACCCGTCTAACGCCTGGCTGTGCTCGAGGTGCTGTGCTAACGTGCTTGACTGGCCCGTTATGCGCTGGAGGCAGGAAGGTCGGGAGAACTGGCTGCTCCTGCTGGCTTGGAGCTATTGACTCCATGAACCAGTTCATTTGTCAGTGATTTGCACTGGTAACAATTCTCCCTACTGAAGAAACGTTCCGGACGGCGCCTCTGGCAGGGCGCCTAGGAACCGAAATCCGCTTCGGCTGCATGGCAGTACTGCTGCCCCCAGACTAAATCCTCTGTTAACCTCCCGCATTATCCCTACAAAGTTCATTTTTACCCCGAAATGGCATACACATCCGCTCGTTTCACATCTGCGCTGCAGAGGCTTGCGAAGACAAGTGATTAGCAACTATGTTGGCGCAATGTCTAATTAAGTGATCGTCCCATACTGACAGCAACTAATTAGGCTTCAGTTTGTATCCCTTTCTGGACACCGAAATATACAAATTCGTTCAACCCTCTTCCCGCCCCCCCCGTTTCGTGTCTGTGTCCACTGCCAATCTTGTAAAATTAGGTTATGGGGCATGAATCTTTTAAAGCATCTGTTTAGGAACTGGTAAACAAGTGCATTTGACTTGAATAATTACGGTGCCTTCAGCAAACTGTTACTTAAACACCGTTTCCCCAGCTTTAAGTCTTGTAATCTAGGAGAGGCCAATGCGATTCCGAGCCACATAGTTTTCTTTGTAATATTTTTAAAACCTTAGAAATGCGGTGACTAGTTTTACTGGTGTGAAGTGGGTCGTGGAGGAACCATTTACACCAAGAAAAGAGAGCGAGAGGATCTAAAGGCCCTCCTGCTATTCTCCCAGCCCCTGCAGCCCAAGTGACAGCGAGTGTGTGGCTAACAAAGCTCTCCCCACGCAGGCAGAGTGGCTGTACTCGAATTCCAGACTTCGGTGCCACTTGCACCCTGTGCGTGTCCGGGTAGCTTTCGTGTTCTCCATGTCCTGTGTGCTGCGGTGACAGTTCTTCGCTCCCTCCAAACGCCTCCCCTCTTAATTCAGGAAAAATTCAGAGCCCCTCCAATTCACTATCGGCGTTTTTGAGAATGAATAGGGAGCCCCCAAGTGTTGAGCTGCCTTTAAATAACAAAACTAAATTACTCTCCTTAGCAGTCCTGAGTTATGAACCAAAGCCCGATCGAGTAACCTATTTACTGGAAGTGTTTAACTTATTAATTGGCATCGATATTTTATGCGCGGGCAGAGACATGGGGATGCAATAACTCATTCCAGTTTCTGCTTGTACATTTCCGTTTACCATTGGATTTTCTGCTGCGCGCATTGGCCGCTCTCCCCTGAAACCTTGTAAAGGCGTAGAATTGGCTGCGCTCGTGGAAGGGGAGTTTGTTTAAACATAAAACACAAACACAGGGCTGGATTTATGGATTTCAAGCAATGCCCTTTTGTAACTCAGGATTATTTCAGCCCATTCAGGCGAGTTAGGAAAAAACCTGGATAAATCCAATTGAAACCCTTCGGCAAAAAGTGTTTAAAGCCATCGGGGGAGTCCTGGTTTTTCCCAGTCATGCTGAGCAGGCAGTAGTCCGGAGGGGAGGGGGGAATTCTGATCCCTAGCGAGCTCCGTGCGTGACTCTGCCTGACAATCCGGATTTTCCTCCCTTCATAGGGTTGGGATTCGTTGAAGGTTTTCGTGTAACAAAGCCATTCCCTTAATCTGGGCTCCCCCCTTCGTTCCCACTTCAGCTCCTTCGGAAAATCTTAACCCCCTATTAGGCAGCTGGGAGTGTTTAATAGCAATTAGACCCCGGGCTAATAATGCCCATCCGGAGCAGGGCCTCTCCTGGCGATGCCAATCGGAAGACGCGGAGTTCGGGGAAGCGGCCCGCTCCCTTCACCTCGCCTGTGCAGGGAGCAGGAAGGCTGGGTGCGCCCGAGCCCGCTAAATGCGGCGCAGCCTCTGCGCGTTCGATCTCCAAGTGCGCTCAGAGCCCTGCAACGCGCAAGCCGCGGGAACCTCTGCTGCGCCACTCCGCCGCCTCCCGGGCCCCACGACACGGGAGGGCTCCTTCCCGCGCTGCGCGCCCCTTCCAGTCCCTGGCACTGCAGGTGCTTCGCGCCGGGCGGCCTCCCCGCCGAGCTCACCCGCCCCCGCAATGACTCGCACCCTTGCCAGGCTCCCCTGGCTGCGGAGCCCAGCGCCCGAGTGTCCCGGGAGTTCGGGCCCCCAGTGGCGGGGCTGGCAGGCGGGAACTCCCCGGGGACCCGTTAGCGGCCTCTCCAGTGGGCCCTTTCCTGGGAGGCGCCCAGACTCGCCTTGAGTGCGCTCCGGACCCTGGGGAGATCCTTTCAGCCAGGGCTGCCGGCAGGGGCAGGCGAGCCTGTGTCCCGGCTCTTCTCGCTCCCTCTGCTTCGGGGACCTACCTGCCGGCTCTTCCCGCCGCGGGCTGCCACCTCCCCAGCCAAAACGCCGTGTGGCCACTGGGCTCTGGCGACGCTGGACAGGGGTGCGCGGGGGCGGCCGGAGACGCAACATTCCAAGCAACAAATCCACCCCCCCGATCCCAGGCGCCCCGCTTGTAGTGACGGAGCAACGCGATCCGGGGCCTCCCCGCAGCCCCCTTCCCCGATGGTGAAATCAAGCAGGAGAGCCCCCCACCCGGCATCTTATGTGGCTTGCTTAGCTCTCCGGCCGCAGTCAGATTGGGGATCCCTGGAGTGCCCGAATGTCGGTCTCCCACATACGGGAGAATCGGAATTTCTTGCTGCCCCCTCCGGCTTAGAGAGGCGTTTAGAGCCGGGACAAAACTCCTGACAACACTTTCTCGGACGAAAGCTGCCTCGATGGGTCTCGTCTGGAAGCAGCTCCCAAAATGGCCCATAAAGGTGTCGCTTGTGTGTGGGGGTTGGGGCCCGGGAAACGTTCATTGTTCGTTTGGAGTTCATGTAACAGCTGAATCTCCCTGCCCTCCCCACTCCCAAAACACCCCCGCAACCTGATGCATCATCTTCACTTTGCATTGCTGTGTCTGCTCCACTTGTTGCTTCTCCCCTGTCCGGACACTCTGTAGGCTGCTCCTAGGAGAATGAGGGTGGGATAAGCGTTTTGCTGCTCTAAGTATGTGAGTGAGAACTGGGGACTTTTCCCAAGAGATTGGGTTTGGCACTGAGCTTTGATTCAACGGCATTGAGACATGTCTGTAGTCGCTGGGCAGCCTGCGAGCAGAATCGCAGTGAATAAAATTTCCTTGTCAGGTTGTGTGGGTGGATTAATTTGGACTAGAAACTGCCTGCATTTTGCCACCAAAAATTCACTTGAGAGAGGGCAGCCAGTCAAGAGTCAACTTGAAAGGGGCCCAGGACAGTCTCCTTGTTTACACTTGTATGCTTGAAAATGATCTGAGAAACAATAAACAGTCTGTTCCTTTTTTTTCCCTACTTCAGAAATCCATTGGAATATTAGTCCAAGGAAGTGCTTTGGGGACAGTTGGCAGTACAATGGCTTCCAAGTACCTCATAGTGGTTCTGGCCATTTTCTCCTCATTCGCCCAGGTTGTAATAGAAGCCAGCTCTTGGTGGTAAGCATATTAAAGTATACTGACTTTATTTAAAAGAATATATTTACTTTTTTTTAGTATCTATAGCTTGTCTTTTCTGGGGGAAAGTGCTGCATGAACAGATTTATAATACTCAATTTCTGGAATAACTTGTAAATCCAAAGGGAATCTATTTTCAGAATTTTTAAAGTAGAAAAATTAAATTTCCATGGGAGTCATTAAGTCTCATTCTACAGGGTCTGAAATAACCAGTGTAAAGGAAAGCACTGAATTCCATGTACAAAAACAATTCAACACAGAGGTTTTTTTTTATTTAATCAACTTTTGAAATAGGCCCATGAACTGAGTTTATATTACTTGTAGCTGTTTGTTTGGTTTTTTTTGAGGGGGGGGAGAGGAGGAGGACTGCAATTAATATCTGCCTTTTAAAAAAATATATATTTCTATTTTAATATTTCTTTAAACAAACCTCTGGTGTCTGAGCTGAACTGTTTCTTATTGGAATCCCTGTTTTAATAATGTGAAAGCACGTATTGAACTCTGAAGGATTGGAAAAACATGTTTAATTTTGTTTCGTATCTGTACGTGCCTCTGTATCTTTCCTATCAGAGGGAACTACTTGTCATTTGTAACAGTATCTAACTAGCGGGGACCTAAGGGTTTGCATATTTGGTCATAATTGCACAGACTGAAAGTTGAGGTTGAAAATCCTAAATTTTGTTTTTATGCACTTCTATGATTAGGCAGTTACTTGGGACTTCTTGTAACTTTACCATGCCCACAGAAATTTGTAGGGATGGGGTGAAATTTGATTCCTGGCATTCAGGTACATTGAAATGTTGGCAGAGACAGTCATTAAAGCATACTGCTATCATCCCAGACATGTAGCCAGTTCTCTGCTGTTCAGCCTTTAAACAAGAGTTTGATCTTCATTGTTTTTCAAAAGTTTTCCTCTTCTTCTTGAGTAGAAGAGGGTTGATTTTTTTTTTTTTTTTTAAATACAGTAATATTGTATTTGGCATCCCAATTTTAATCTACTTCCTTCTTTATGCAGGTCTTTAGGAATGAATCATATGAATCCTATGAACCCTGTTCAGATGTCAGAGGTATATATAATAGGAGCACAGCCACTATGTAGTCAATTAGCAGGACTTTCCCAAGGACAAAAGAAACTCTGCCACTTGTATCAGGACCACATGCAGTATATTGGAGAGGGGGCAAAGACGGGCATTAAGGAATGCCAGTATCAGTTCAGACACAGAAGATGGAATTGCAGCACTGTGGACAACAACTCTGTTTTTGGCAGAGTCATGCAGATAGGTAGGAAGCAAAAACTTTCTGATTAAACTGTTGCCTAAGAATATGTGTAATATTTACTTAATGCTCTGTATTAAGCATTTTTGCAATGTCTTGATCTCTGTAAGGTACATAATTTAGTACCAAAAAACCCTTCTGTTTTTAATCAGATTTGATTTTCCCTTTGCTCCCATCCCTCAAAGTGAAGTCAAGAAAACATCTGAATACAAAAATGCAGCAGGGAAAAAAAAGTGGTGCTAAAATACTCATTAACTTTAACTTTAAAGAAAAGAATCTGAAAAAAATAATAGCATGTATAAAATTAACTAAAAAGTAGTAGTGTGTGGCAAAACATTTGAATTCCAAAATTGCTCATGTTATGTAATACATTAATTTTGTGTGGCATTTTATAAACTCTTCCCCTTTTCATTTACTGTTATATATAACAACAGCTGTTAGGAAAAGATGTTGCACCAGAAATCTCCTTATGCCAGTGTGATGGGGTCCCATCCTCTTGCCTGTTAAATTCCTCTTCAAATTAAGTCGTTCCATACCACTCACAGGACAAATAAGCCTTATAATTTAAGGTCTCAGTACTGTTCCTATTGAAGCTTACTGCAAAATTCTCATTTTCTTCTGTGGTACAGGATTGGGCCCAAAGATAGAGTTTTCCTCTGGACTTTCCAGTCTGTTTCTCTGTCTCCTGAATTCCTACCCAGAGGAATCTGCTTCCTATTGTGTCTTTTCTATTTTATACAGCATTTGTTGTACCAGCATTTTAATTGCAACACTGCTGTAGCTCATAGCCTGTGCGCAGTAGCATTTTAATTTGAGATCTAAATTAAATCCTTTATTCTGATGCTTTGCTTCCTGTTTCAGAAAGGAATGGTTTAAATTACACTATAAGCAACTTTATTTTGTAAATTCCTTAGCCCTTGCATAGCTTGAAGGAATACTGTCAATTACATTTGGCCCTAAAGTTAACTTTTTGTAATTAAGTTTTTGGTAAAACCTGAAATGAATAGAAAAGTGTCTGAGTTTTTAAAAGACACTGTTCCTCAGATATTTTAACAGACATTTCTCAGTCTTTGTTTGCAAACTCCAGTATTGAGAACTTAAAAACTAAACTTGCTTCTCATTGTTCAAGCTGAGCAAGATCCAAAAAAGCAAGTTAAGCATGAAAAACAAAGGCAACAATGTTGGGATTTTTTCCACTTAAATTTTCTTGAAATTACAAATGAAAGCAGGAAAGAAATGTTTAAATTTCTGGCCTCATCCTTCAACTATGTTAGGTTCAACTGGTTTAGTGGTATGAATTAAAGTGGTGGGATTGGGTCCAGTATTTCTAGTATGAAGATTTCACACCTTCAAGAGTGTGACATAACTGGTCCCAGGAGTTTATTGCAACCTGAGAAACTTTGCCCTCTTCCACTACTATATGACTACATTCATTAATATTGATGTAGCAATTTATCATGTAAGTAACCCTTTTACAGGAATTGCAGATACAAGAAGGATTCATAGACATATCCAACACTTAACGATCCTGAAAAGTGTATCTTACAGTGGTATTATATCACATTACAATATGTAGCACATGATTAGTTGCTGGTTCCACTTGAATAAAAAGAAAAAAAATCTGATACTCTTTAAAAATTTGATTGTCAGTAGAATTGCCCCCTTATTCTCACCAGTGTGACATGATCATAACTAGATCCTGAGTTTGCATAACTTTGTAGGATTTTGTACTTTATGCTAATGACTACAACATCAGTAATTTTGCATTGAGGAATCTGCTTAGAGAAGCACTGACTTGATAACATAATAAATACTACAGATAGTATTTTTCTTCCAGGATTTACCAGGCAAAGTTATCTAAAGCTGTACCAATAAACCAAGCATTGACTAGAAAGTGACTCTAGAGCTTACTGAACATTACATTTACAGGATGTTTATTCTGTTATGTATCAGAGGGGTAGCCGTGTTAGTCTGGATCCGCAAAAGCGACAAGGAGTCCTGTAGCATCTTATAGACTAGCAGATGTATTGGAGCATAAGCTTTTGTGGGCAAAGACCCACTTCGTCAGATGCAAGACTGTTATGGTAGCTTCAGTTGATCATCTCTTAAATTAGACTATTATAGACCTGCCCTATGCAACATATTGTGCTGTCCTTTAGCTTCACATTAATCCTAGAACTGGCATATTTGGCCAGTATTTTAAACATAAAACAAACTAAATTGATCCTTTCAACAACTGCATTGAGAGAGAGGTCCAGTCTAATCATGTCTGCAGATATTTTTGAATGCTCTTGAAATAAAAAATGTTCTACTTTTGTCCTGTGTCTTATGCCCAGATTGAGACTTAGTTTCTGTACATTTATTGTTGTGGCACTTCTCTAAACAGTAATATGTTTGTGGAACAACATCCTATTTAAGCTATATATTAGGAACATAAAGTAACTCAATGTAAATGTGTTTTCTAGCAATGCTCACAATAGTTCATGGATTCCCAAACTGGGGGAGGGGGTGTGTCCCCTGGCTGGGTGTGAAGAAATTCCAGGGGGAGCGCAAGGCAACCCAGCCCCTCCCCATCAATCTTCCCCCCAAGTTTTGCTGCTATTGGGTGTGGTGGGGGGGCATGAGGGTTTCTCAAAAATCAAAAAAGGGGGCGTGATGCCAAAAAGTTTGGGAACCACCGCTATAGTTGAAGAAATGTGGAAAAAGACAGGCATGTTTGTGCCTAAGTACCCTGGAAAAAACTATTCCAGAGCAATTCATCCATGTGGAAATGACTCCTATAACGTTGCCAAAGTCTATGAGATGTAGGGTGATGTGTTGGGTTATTGGCGGGTTTGCAATCTAAAATTGCCTGCTCTGAGATCAGTTTGAATGGATTAGTCAAATTTTGCTTCAACTAAAAACGGAGTTGAATATATACAACTTGTTCTTATAGACAACTTTCTTTCACTTTCATGTTCCACCTTTTCACACTTTTACATCACATCCTTTCTTCCCGAAAGATTTCAGAAAAATGCACCAAGACCTTAAATGAAAAACCTCAGGTTTTTAAATTTTATGCAGTATAGAAGATAATTAACATGTATAAACCAGAGCTAACCATACACTTGTCAGAAAGAGAATAGACAAAGAAAAAACATTCTGCATGCCTTATCTACACAAACATCCCATTAATTTGAATGACTGCAGAATATATCCAAAACATGCATTACAATACAATCTAGAATTTAGTTTTAAAATCTGTCAAGCAGTTCCTTCAATGAATTGGAAGTAAAGGCAACCTCAAAAACATAACACCAGAATTATTGCAACCATTGAGATGTCACCTGTGAACCTTTATACTCAGGAGTAACCCATAACTCTTGCAAGTAGGGTCATGAGTGACTGCTGGAATAAACCTTAGCACTGAGGGGAGGAGTGCTTCTGAGTCTATTAGATTTAGAAGTGGTCTTCCCCAGTATGCCAGCTCGGACTCTTTTTTTTTTTTTCATTTAAAGAACATAATTTATTAAAATTATTTCAAAAGGCAGCAGTTGTTACGTTAGCAGAGATGCTCCAAGCATAGTGTTAGATCAATGTTAATACAGATTAACTGTGTGTACTGTTCATAATATACTGTAGTGCTCATGGGCCTCAATCAGGAGTGGGCCTTTAATGGTAGGCTCTATACAAAGAAATGGTAGGCTCTATACAAAGAATTGCTATCTGAAAATCATATCTGATTGGGGGAGGAACATCTTTGTAACAAACAAAATCCAAACTTGGTAAAATCAAGGTATACCTATGCCAACTCTATTTTTGGGCTAAAGCATAGAAATAAAACTAATGGTTAAACCAATGGCTAACCCTCATTGATTTTTTTTCCAACTTAAAATTATGTTTTTGTGTGAATCAACAGTCTTTGGGAGTCTTTCCTGGAGAAGGACTTCAGCTTTGGACCTGTAATGATGCAAAGTAGCTCTCTTGTCCCTACTTCCTGATAAGCAGAAATGCAGAAGGCTCTATCATGTTAGCCTTCTCATGAAAGACGTTTGTTGTAAAATAGAACTCATGCCATTCCTAAGAAAGTAGATGGCCGTAGCTGTGTCCTAGGTAAAAATGGACCTAGGTGATGTCTTTTTTGAGGAAGCTGTCAATGAATTTATCTTCCAGTGAGAAAATCCTGTGACAAGCAAATACTGTATGAACAAAGACCTTTTTCTGTCATCACCTTTAAAGAAACTTTAATCTTTTATCTTAAAATGAAAGTTGGAAAAACTTGAATGTAAGGGAATCAATTCCTAGATAAAACCTTTAATACACTTCTTTTAAAGGCATGCTCTTCCCTGCAACTTATAGAAATGATATATATTGGCTTCTTTTGCTGTGTGAAATCTTCTGTTAGTTGAATTATTAGGTACTAGTCGGCAATAGGGTATTTCATCTTTATTTTTAAATAGCCCTCTTCAAAGCCACTGGTGAGTTTATGTGCAGGGCAGGATATTGACAAGTATAATTCTGGTGTGCCCTTTCTTTGACACCAGCAGCTTTGTGAAATGCTGTAGCTTTAAATTGGAACAAATGAGTAAGGTAGATAAATCATGTTCAGGAAGCAGTAATTTAAGGAACAGACTTCTATAAGCTGTAGTTAGGATGGGAAGCAGCAAGACTCTCTAACCCCTGCACCCAGTTATTGTTGTAACCATTGCTAAGCTGTTGGCTTCATACGCCTAAAGTCTAATTCTCTTCTCAGTTGTATCATTGTTGCTCCACTGCGTTCCTTAGTGTAAAACCAGTGTGAGAGGAGAATTCATCTCCTGCTCTTCCTAACTGAATCTCCATTTTCTATCCCTGATTTATTTGCTTTTGGGAGAAAGGGGAGGAGTAAAAATGTTTCCGCCTCTTAAGCAAAAGCACCCTTCAAGAACCCCATGCATTTCAATTTCCCCTTGCCCTGTATTGAATGTCAGAGAACGTATGCAGACTTGCCTTTAACTTTTGCTTTCTCTTTACTTGCAGGCAGTAGGGAGACTGCCTTTACTTATGCAGTCAGTGCTGCAGGGGTGGTTAATGCAATGAGCCGTGCCTGCCGAGAGGGGGAGCTCTCCTCCTGTGGCTGCAGCCGAGCAGCCAGGCCCAAAGATTTACCCCGGGACTGGCTGTGGGGTGGCTGTGGGGATAACATCGAATACGGCTATCGCTTCGCCAAGGAATTTGTGGATGCTCGGGAGCGTGAGAGAATTTATCAGAAAGGCTCTTACGAGAGTGCTAGAATTTTGATGAACCTGCATAACAACGAGGCTGGAAGACGAGTAAGTGGTTCCTTTACCTTCCACAAAGCAGCCTGCCTGGGAAGGGCCACATCTCATTACTGAGAGAGTTATAAAGAAGAGTGGCTTAGATAATTTTCCCTGAAGGTCCTTAGCTCATGCACAATATTGGTTTTTCAAGGAAGTGTTTTCTTTGCTTTTCTTATTAGTCCCCAATGAAATCTGTTAGCGAGCTCAGAAATCAAACCCTTTAATACTTGGCCTTCTTCAAACCCAGAGGGAGAGTGTGTGGTACTGGGTTTAAATATGGGAAAGAGAAGAGAGTGTGTATGTATATGAGTATCCCTGAGTGACAGCACTATTGCCACCAGCTTTTCCATTCCCTATCCCACAGGATCATCCGGACTACAGTATATCTTGTAATTCATCCATGTTCTTTTAGTAAAACCTCTACAGTTTACTGTGAGTTTTCTGCAGAATATAGTTTTATTGGTTTATATTTCCAACCAATCCAGTTTCTTTTGAAGGGAAAAAAGAAGCACTAAACTTCTCAGAGCAGAATATTCTTGCAGGGTTATAACATGATTTCCTCCTTTCCTGCCCTCTTCCTTTGGAAAACACCCTCTTCTGTGGTGAAATGTGTTTTTTATGACGACTTTAATCTTGAACATGCTTTAAATGAATGGGTGTAAGCCCCCCCCCCAATATTGTGAATTGAAAGAGCCAAAGTCTATTATTTTACTAGAGCCTGTAATGCTAGAAACTGGAGATTTTATGCTTGTATTTCAAGGTGAGGAAGGAAGAAAGATAACTGAAAATTAATATTTTAAACATGAGAGGAGGGCACAAAAGAAAGGCCAATTTACTACTAGATAGGAGAAAAATAACTTTCACAGTTGTCTACAGATTCTCTAGCAGTTTTCTTTCTCCCTTCCCAGACTCCTCTTTGCAGTGCCACTTGGCAGTACCAAAACTCTTTAAATGTTGGGTGGAAGTTGCAAAAAGTATCCACCTAATGTGTCAGACCCCAGGATTTTTGGGGCAGTGTCAACACTGACTCTTATTTCTATTTATACAGGGTAAATGTCTGGGATCTTGCTGCCAAAGCTTTATAAAACGGATATTGCAGTGTAGGTCAGTCCCCCCACCCAAAGGTGTTTGGGGGTTTCTTCTGGACGTAGTCTCTCTTACACAGCAGTATTTTGGATGGGAGGGTGCTGCTAAGCCAAGAGCAGACAGTCGGCTGTTACAAAGCCTGCAATAAAAAAAAGTTAACTTTTTCTCTCTACAAACCTCAAACTGAGACCAGTTGAGAAAGCAAAAATAAAAGGAAGGGCTATTTTAAATTTCTCAATGAAACAGCAAAATCCTTTCCCCAGCAATTGGGCTAATTCCTAAAACTGAATGCAACATGAATGATTCTGCTGAGGATTTGCGTGCCCACTTGTGGGATGTGTGAGAGATGTTGAGAGCTCTCTCCCTGTGGTCTGAGTGGGGAAAGAAAGCAGGGGCATGTAAGGGACTCTCTGGGAAACAAGTTATGTAACAGCCACACTGACTCCTGTTTTTCTTCCTCCTTTTTTTTTGTCTCCCTTAGACTGTGTATAACTTGGCGGATGTGGCTTGTAAGTGTCATGGGGTGTCTGGCTCCTGCAGCCTGAAGACCTGTTGGCTGCAGCTGGCCGATTTCCGCAAGGTGGGCGATGCCCTGAAGGAGAAATATGATAGCGCTGCTGCCATGAAACTCAATAGCCGGGGCAAGCTGGTGCAAGTGAACAGCCGTTTCAACACGCCCACCATCCATGACCTGGTCTACATTGACCCTAGCCCCGACTATTGTGTCCGAAATGAGAGTACTGGCTCCCTGGGCACCCAGGGCCGCCTCTGCAATAAGACTTCAGAGGGTATGGATGGCTGCGAACTCATGTGCTGTGGTCGGGGGTACGACCAGTTCAAGACAGTGCAGACAGAGCGCTGCCACTGCAAGTTCCACTGGTGCTGCTATGTGAAATGCAAGAAGTGCACAGAGATTGTGGACCAGTTCGTGTGCAAATAGGGGGAGATGAGGTGGGAGGAACTTCTGCCTGCCTGCCAACGGGGGAGGGCTACCCCCAGGACAATCTCCACTTTATTTATAGAGTCCAATGAGTTTTCTTTTTATTACAAAGGTTGCAAAAAGAAGTGACTGGAACCCTTTCTGCACCCATTCTAGGACTAATTGTGGTTTATATTTTTGGCAATAACGGGAGTGAATCTGAGAAAATATTTATTTTTTTTCCCCAAAAAAGACTTTTTTAAAAAAATAGTGTAGTTTGGAGGGAAATCCAACAATAGCCTAACTTAGTCCAATGAGACACAGGACGTGCAGCAGGCAAAGAATTCGTGTTACATACATGGGATCTGAGAATGATTCTTATGGACACACTTAACCCACAAACCTGGGCATGAGTTTAGCTTCAGTGACCAAAAGTAGTCTGATACATATACAAAGCTGATCAGTATATCCAGGGATCCATAAAAAGAGGGTTGGTATATTTGTAGGAGGGCTTAGCACAAAGCTACCTTGATGCCAATCGCATGACAGCAAAGTGCTACTTAAACAGTCGAGATAGTTAAAGGGTAGCAGCACAGGAGTGTTTTTTTTAAAGAGTTCAGCTGTATTATAGAGGACCTTAATCTTGGGTTCGGTATCTAGTAAGACCAATAAAAATGTGGCCTTGATTGACACTGTACATCAAAGCAAGATGTGGCCTGTCAGCTCTTCACAAATTATATATGGTATGTGAATTTTCCATCTTGGCAAGCAATTTGGCATTACTGATAATGAATATCAGGAGCCAACAACGTCTGAACCTCACCAAACAGTGCTCTGACCTGATACAATAGAAATTGCACCACTGCAGCTGTTTAACTGCCCACTCTCTCTGGAAAGCCCTTTAAGAAACAGAATTCCCCTAATTTGAAATGCCTTTTAAAAATAGTGGTATGATAGCCGGCCACCTTTCAAAACACAACTTGATAAATAAACCCTTTTATTTTATCCAAGAAAATTGATTATTAATTAATAATCATTCTCAAAATGGTTTATTGTGGATTTTGGGAAAGCTTTGACTTGAGAAGACAATACGTAGTTTCATGTCTTAATGATGTTAAGTGGCTATTTTAATTCAATGAAATAATGCAGCAATGCCAAATTTATCATCTGATGTCTTCAGTACACATGCTTTAGATAATATATTGCAGGTATACATTAAAACTGTTCAGACTATACTTGAGCAGTTACATATATATATGGGAAAACTGTGGTCCGCTGGCATCTGATAGTTCAGAGCTTTTTGTACATATATATTTCAATACAACCAGTAATTTTTATAAGACTGCTAAAGTTATGGAGGCAGTTTGTCAGTTTTGAGCATATTATTCCCCATTTCCTTTTAACAAATCTCATTTAGGATCTTTTGTAATGATTCTAGCACTCTTGGTATCATAACACAGAGGTTTTATGAATACTTTAATCACAAAGAAGTAAGCCTTTTTGCAACCTAAGGGGATTTGTTGGGTTATAGGTAGACAAGGGTACCATGCACTTGAATTCACACTGGTTTAGAGACGGCTTCTCTCTTCCACTTTCCTGCAAGGGCATTATTGATTATCATGAAACATAAACGCTAGCATTCCCTAACACAAGCTGTATTTGGCCCTTTGTTTTTAAGGTGGTATTTTTTTTTTCATTTTTAAAATGTATATCACTACGTAATAAAGCAACTTGTGTTTCCCCCACCCCAGTGTATTTACAAACACCTGGCATTTGTCATTCGTGCAGAAACCTCTCCCTGAAAAATTCCTCACATAAATTAAATCAACATTCAATACCAAACAAATAAAATCCTCCACTTTAGCCTAGTTGTATTACAAAAGCCTTAACTTCTCACAAGCCTATACACTTTAGCATTAAGTTCATCTTGATCATTTATCAGCTTTTTAAATGCTTTATTGCTCTTAATTTATTAAGGACATATTTACCCCCTCAGATGTTTTCAAACAAAATATCTTTTAAAAAGGCACTACTTCATTGAATTTGTCACTTTTGGTTTTTATTATACAAAAACCATAGTCATTTTTAATTTTCTGAATCACTTGTTCCATTTTTAGTGACTTGTCTGTGAGCAGAGCTGAGTCTTAACAATCCTAGCTATTAAAACACTATTTAATGTAAAATATTTTACTTGTCATTCATTGTTATGTAAATCTTCTATGTTCTTTCCTCTGTTCTGTACATTTAATGTACATATTTCTGTCTTGTGTGATTGTATATTTCACTGGTTTAAAAAAAGTTGAAAGGCTTTACGTCATAATGGAAGATAGACTATAAAAATAAAACTTTGTATGTTGGAAAGTGGTTTTAATTATCTTACAGAGGAGGGTTTGTTAAAACAATGAAAAGGTTGACTTTTTAAAATTTATTATGTGGTAAAACAAGGAAGCAATCTTTGCCAAACACACGCAGTGCAACTTGAAATTTCAGTTCTATATTCTGAAGGCTTACTGATAAAACAAACTTTGGAAGGAAAAAAAACCCTTTGTGACTGTGTGCACCACAAAATATTTGTAAGTGTTTAGGAACCCATCTGACAAGTGGCCAAAGGAGCCAAAATATTGAACCACTAAGCACATAGCTTTCAGTATTTTGGTGGTAACAGTTTTGGAGTCATGGGGACCTGGTCCTGTAAACCCTTTAATCCTATGAATAATTCTTACCTGAGAAGACCTACTGGTTTCCATTGGGCTAGTATTGTGAATCCAGTCTTTATGAAGGAATAGGAGTTTGTAGGATGGTGGAGTTTTAGCTGGATTTTTGTTTCTCATCTGACTTGATTTTCAGTTGAAATGATAGAAAACTTCATAGAGTAACAATTAACAATTTTGTCCAGGCTTCTTTTCCTAAAATTTGGAGTAGGTGTAAAGATAAGTGTCCTTATTTAAAAGAGCACAAAAAAATTTAGAAGCAAGAAAGTAAACTAGCAAGGGAAAAAAATAAATAAAGGCTTGCTGTCCTGAGACCAGCATGCTCTGGACTGATTTCCTGACTGTGTCTAAAATCTTTGCCACAATGGAGAGCTTGATAAATTAGCACCCCCTCTTTTTTTGTTCCAGGATAACCTCCTCACATACTGAAACCCCTTTTTGGCTGCCAAGAATGTATGATCCCACAAAAACAGTAGACCAACATCTGTGTGTTTTAAAATAGCGATTCTGGGCAAATGCAAAGTTCTGTGGTCCTATTACTCACATCTGGTTCAGTTTTTCTTTAGTTGTATATTGACCAGTGTTCTTTATTGCAAAAACACAGCCCCTATTTAGAAAAGTCAGCATTTTTTGGACTGGATTGGTTTCAAGCTCTTCCCAATAACAGGAAAATTAAAAAAAATAAATTGATTTGCAGCACCGAATAGCCATGTTCAAAATAGTCATGGCTTCTGACATCAGGGAGGTTACTTTAGTTTTTGTAAAGTTTTGTCTGTTCAATTCCTTAAAGTGCTGTTACCCTTTTGCTGGAACACTATATTTTTAGAAACCTTTACAAACCTTTTTTCTTATTGTTGTGGTGTTGCCAATATCCGTTTTTTCAATCTGTTTTTGCAAAACCTTATTCAAGCTGTTAGTTTTATCAAGAAGTATACCTGGAACACAGAGAAGTGAAGGAACACAGGCAGGCAGTGTATGGATATTGATATAAGAAAGGTTTCCATTACTGTAGAGAAGCGTTGAATTTTATGATTTCATACACATGCAACACAGGGGCTTGACACAAAATGGGCAGAGTCTTTCCAGTGACTTAAAAAGACTTTGGGTCAGGCTCTGTAACAAAGTGACTAAAATACTGCAAATGTTCACTATGAAACAACACTTTTTATTGGGAATGAGGCATCCTATTTATGAAATGATGTATCAAACAAAAATATTTTTTTTAGAAAGGACTCCCTTTTTTCTCAGAACACAAACCTATTTCTATAGGCATAGTTACATAAACCCAACTTCTGAGCAAATTTAGAGACATGATCCTAATGTTTCATCATCTAACAAAATCTTTAATTGATAGTTCAGATTAATTTCATTTTGAATTTAAAACGACTAGAGACTTTATTAGCATTAAATAAGATAATGATCATGAAGTCTTTATTCTTATGTAATAAAACAATGGCAACTGGATCTAGCTACAGAATTAAACATTGTCATTTAACATTTATTTTAAAATAGTGTGTGTGCAAATGAGTATTATCTCTGGGTACAAGGAAAAAAGAGTAGAAGGCTTCTGTCAATAGTGACATGATTTGTGTGTGACTGCCTGTGAAAGATGCAAACTGTTAATGTATGGGACCACCGCTAATTCTTTTGAAATAGCAAGAAAAGAAGGAAAAATGTATTAAAATCTAATAAATAAAAATGGGAGAAAGGAAACCATATTGGAGGGTTGCATGAGATTTGGTCAATGAAGTATAAAAAATAGTGATTAGAACTTGTAATTCTAATCTTTCTTATCTTAATCCATGTTTCTGTTACATGAGGGTTCTGTGGGTTTGTTTATACTACTCTATGGCCGTGTCAACACTATAGACATGAAGCAAGCAGTTGACATGCTAATTTGAACTAAGAGGCGCTCCCGTCGATGCTGGTAGTCCTGCTTGTGGAGTAAAGGAAGTCCAAGGGTGCACTACAGTATGGACAGTACCAAAATTTGAGTTGAGATATTTCGACTTATGCTAGGCAATTAATGTAGCTGAAGTTGCGTATCTTAATTTAAACTTATCCCCTAGTGTAGATCAGGTGTGACAGTTTACATATCCATTGAGCCAAATTCTGCTCTCTCTGGTGCCCATCTTCTTGACTTCAATGGCACTGCATGATGGGAGCTGGCGGCTTTCCATATTGCTCTTAAGAATGTGTGTGAATAAACTGCATACATGATGGTTTTTTTCTGGCTTTATTATTTAAAAAAGGTGGGTAAGTAAATGATGAAAAGTCTTTGGCTGCTGCTGAAAAGCAATTATTGTTCTTTCATAGTGACATTTCTTCCACCTCCATAAACCACTTAATTATGTCTGATTCTGCCTATCATAGGGGAGATGCTTGGCTAGATTATTGTTGCTTCTCTCTTTGACATAGTTATTTGTCATATGCAGGTTCAATTCTTTTTTTATTAGTGCAATACATTTCGGTTAAGTTATCTAGGGAATGTGGTCCTAAAGACTCTTGACTTTGAGATATGTTGGCTAGGGCCTCAGTGGAGTGACGTGATGTTGTGAAGTTGCTTCTGGTTATGCTGTTGCCAAAACTTGGGACCTGAGGTAACGCGTACTGGATCATTCACAAGTGAAGTTGCTTTGTGTTGCCTTCCCCAGCAGTTCTGCTTTCTTGAGTAGCCACTGAACAGCAGTAGTAAAAATATTCAGCTGATGGAGAACTCCTGAAGGCTCCTGTAGACAGAGTTACTCAAACGTTTTCTGAACCAGTTTGACCCATTACTGATTTATTCCAGATCCACTTTTAAGGAATTTAAAATATGCAAACTGAAGCATAACTTTTATAGTATGTTTCACCAGTTTTAGACAGGGTGCATCCCATTCTAAAAGGGCTGCATTTATTTAGAGTTATTTTTCACAGTCCTTTTGAGAGAGGAGCAGTGTGGTTGACTGAAGACAATTCCTGTCATATAGCTGTAAGTGCATACTGTGTAAAAATAGCCTTTCTTAGGCCATGTCTGCACTAGGAAGCTATTTCAAAATTAGAGTTATTCCTTGGGGAGAGCAGGGCTACGTCTAGACTGGCTCCTTCTTAGGGAAACCCGTGGGGGATTTAAAAAAACATGGCCGCCGCTTTTTTTCCAGCTTGGGGAAAAGCCGGAAAAGAGCGTCCAGAAAGTACTTGAAAGTAGGAATAAGAGATCCTCCGGAAAAGGGCTTTATTCCAGAGGATCGCACCAGTCTGGACGCTCTTTTCCGGCTTTTCCCCAAGCCGGAAAAAAGCGGCGGCCATGTTTATTTAAATCCTGTGGGGGATATTTAAATCCCCCGTGGATTTCCCTATTCCAAAGTTCGAAATTAGCATGCCTCTTCCGAAGAAGGGGCCAGTGTAGACGTAAGGAGACTGGCACGTTCTCACAGTTTCTTTTCCTGAATAAGATGGGGTTTGCGTTCAATAACTACGGATCTCAGCAGAGATTCTGCTTGGTAAGCAAGGATTTTTTAGGACTCCTTCAATATCTCTTTACTTTGTGAATTGGCAGTCTTGCAAAAGTAAAGAGTAATGCTTGGACAAATTTGAATTGACCACTACTTGGGAATAAGGCAGAAGAGTTTAGCAGTACTGTAATTTACTAAGCAATAGGCTATAAAACAGAGCAAGAAAGAGATTACCCTGATCTGAGTAGATAAGAATTAGTGAATAGGTCTAAAGACAGGGAATGGGGGAATGCAAATTATATCATGTACATATAGTGACTTAGTATGCCAAGCAAGGAACTGTCTCTATCAAAATGGCCTATAAATTCATGGAAAGCCAAGAAGATGCATAGTTCTGCCATTCTGCTTTTAGAAGGAAAGAATGATTCCGCAATTACTACTTTTCTTCTTCGTATATTGTACATTGATGGGTAGAGAGCCAGAAAGTAAATCAAGTCTGAGCAGTTAATGAATTGGAAGTAAAACCATAACCCAAAACCAGGCTTGATAAAAGCCACTATAAAGAAGATAAACAATGCAAGATGTAGCAGGCAGATATACTTTTTTTAAGAATTAGTGTTCCTGTAGCTCTCAAACAGCCACTAGTTACTTCTGTCAAAAACAATATAATTTTGCAGAGTTGTCTGATTTATATAAATAACAATAGACAAATGGTTCCTGGGTGGTTATATGCATTTTGTGGAAAGATGATTAGTTATGAATTCCTACATACCTCAGTCTTCAAAATTCTTGGTTGCCACCTAAAAACGGGGTGAAGTATATAAAGAGTAAAGAAAGAATTAACATAATAAATTGACCTTGATTTGCATCACAGAAGGTGTCTCAGTGCTTGGCTGGAGCACTCTGATATATGTACAAGGCTGTCTCAGTGACCATCTACAACAAAAATTCCAATCACAATTCTGGCAGGAGATAGCGAGGAGTCCGAAGTGAAAGTTTTTTCCCTCCAGCTTTGATTCCTATAACCAGGCTTTGGGGGACCTTGTGAGACAGGAACTTTGGAATGGCACAGTAAGAGTGTATCTAGACTACATGGCTCCGTCGACGGAGCCATGTAGATTAGGCAAGACGACAAAGGGAAATAAAGCAGTGATTTAAATAATAGCCGCTTCATTTAAATCAAAATGGCTGCCACGCTGTGCCGATCAGCTGTTTGTCG